TGTACGTTTGAAGAGCACGCGCGGCAACAGCACAATCAGGCTAGATAATGTGGCATACTGCCCTGATCTACTCTGTAACCTGGTGTCGTTTCGCCTGCTCAGACGTCAAGGACTATGGTGGGATACCAAGTCAGAGCCCACAGCAATCAAACGAGCAGACAATACAGTGATTGCGGAGCTTCAAGAACTGTACGGTCAATGGGTACTCGAAAACAGACCTATGGACCAAGGGCAATCATGTACTATGAGTAGTAGTACAACCTTTGTCATGCACAAGATCAATTCACGCACAAAGCGTAGGGCAGCTATCGCCAGTGCGGAGACATGGCACAAGCGATTAGGCCATCCAGGACCCAGCGCACTTGAGCACCTAGTGCAGCGAGCTGAGGGGGTGCGCATCAAGGGCGTACCCACAGTCAAATGCGACGCCTGCGGCAGAGCAAAGTCGAAACGGCGCATCAGGCGAGAAGCCAGGCCAAACAGTGAAGGACCCGGAGAGCGTATCGCGATCGACTTCCACGACTACGAGGCACAAAGCTTCAACAAGGAGCGCAGCCAGATGCTCGTCACCGATCGATACTTAGGCCACATGTGGGACTTCTACTTCAAAGACAATCGGCCCGCTAGATCAATCATTAAAGTTCTGAACGACCTTATACTACTGCTAATAGTATAATTTGGCGTAACTGTCAAAGTTATCGAGTCAGATAACGAGATCTTCACGGTTAAGGTAGACGTCGAACGCTGGTATACGAGTAAAGGTATTAAAATTGAGCCCTTGGCACCTAATACACAGGCCTAGAATGGAGGAGCTAAGCACTTAGGGGGTGTAATTAAGGAGAAAGCCCGCGCAATGCGCCTTAACGCCAACCTACTATGGGACCTTTAGCTAGAAATCATATAAGCTGCGGTATATCTACATAATCGCACTCTAAACTATAAGAACCAATGGTATACACCATATGAGAAGTTCTTTACTATAGTCTCTCTTATTAATGGGATTGTATCTCAACCAAAGAAACCGGCCCTAGGGCATCTCAAAGCGTATGGAAGCAAAGCATTTGCCATGACTAATGATACCTGGCGTGGTAAGAGCAAGCTCTAGCAACTGGATCCGAAGGCATGGATTGGATATCTCGTTGGCTATTAATCTATAAACATATGGCGTATATGGATCCCATCACTATTAAAGGTGATTAGTATCCGTGACGTTATATTTGACGAAGAAATAGTGTTTAATGGTACTTAGGAAGAGATTATAGACAACCTTATATATAGCACACTTAATAAGATAGCTATATAGATCTATATAGTGGAGCTCCCGCCCACTATAGATTATAGAGATATAACGCCCTTCTATGAAGATGAGACGATTAACGACTCTACGTAAGATTAAGATAATGAGACGCCAGGTTATTACTAAGGGAGGAAGATTAACTACACCTACCTATCGCCGCCATTAACGCTGCTACTAGTTGTTAAGATCCAATCAGAGATCTCACATGTATCGTAGTAATATTCACTGGGCGCCAACTGAGACAACCTCGAGGGCGGCGCCTA